CGGGGGCCGGGCTGGAGCCAAGCCGGGCCAGAGCTGCTGGGGCCTGCGGGAACGGGCCGCGCCTCCCCCGGAGCCCTTCTCACGCCCCCCACCACCCCAGCTTACCTTGTGCTGCCGGCCCGCCCCTGCTTCTTTTCAGACTTCCTGCGAATCTCTGATTCGTGGGAAGCAGGGGAGGGGGCGGAGCGTTCAGGGGAGGGGAGGAGGGGGAAGTGAGCTGGGGGCGGGGTGGACAGCTGCAGCGCGGGGCCCTCTTGGCGCGGGGCCCAATTCAGCCGAATCGGCTGAATCGGCCTAAAGCCGGCCCTGCCTTCGGGAACAAGTTGTTTCATTCCCAGTTGCTCTGATGTTGCTTCATGTTGTTGTGTGTGAGCAGATATTTTTACTACCATTTTCTTCACTTAAAATATATTGAACTATAACAAAGAGCAGGAAGAGGGCAGGGATAGGGAAAAATGTCATTTCACCCTCTGAAACAACAGAAGAAGATAGGGTAAGTCAGAGGGATTCCCTTATTCCCCATCACCATCCCAATCCCCCTGTTGTTCAATTGGTTAGGTCAATATTTTTTCTAAAGGGCTGGGAAGAGGATTCCCTAGTAAATAACTTGGAACTAAGCAAAATACCCATGCATTGGGCTCCCAAAGCAGTTGTGGCACGGGCTCTGCAGGAGGTCGCTCTTGAAAATATCTCCTTCCTAATCAGGCGCATGTTGCCTGTTATTTGGGAAATGCAATCCCTATCTAGGTAGAGATGGGGAAAATGGAAGTGACATTTCTGTTCAGCTCATCACTACTGATATGTTGTGTGGTTGGTGAAGAATTCTATGCCAGAGAAGTGTAAAATTATTGCAAGTAAGGTCAAAGATTTGACAAGACCTCAGGTAGAAATTGCCGGTACTAGTAGTTAATTTTCACCCCAGAGATTGACACTATGTTGACCTATGGCCCAGGAAGACTATTTTTAGAACACTGCTCCCTTGTTAAGTGGCACTGATCACACTCCTAAAGGATGCCATGATTAAATTGGGCACAACTGTCTTTTATCTTTTGGATCCAAAGTTTCATGAAGCACAGAGAGAATCATAGAAGATTAGGGTTGGAAGAGACCTCAGGAGGTCATCTAGTCCAACCCCCACTCAAAGCAGGACCAACACGAACTAACTCGTCCCAGCCAGGGATCTGTCAAGCCAGGCCTTAAAATCCTCTAAGGATGGAGATTCCACCCCTTCCCTAGGTAACCCATTCCAGTGCTTCATCACCCTCCTAGTCAAATTGTGTTTTCTAATATCCAACCTAGACCTCCCCCACTTTAACTTGAGATCATTGCTCCTTGCTCTGTCATTTGGTACCACTGAGAACAGCCGAGCTCCATCCTCTTAGGAATTCCACTTCAGGCAGTTGAAGGTTGCTATCAAATCCCCCATCACACTTCTCTTCTGCAGACTAAACAAGCCCAGTTCCTTCAGCCTCTCCTCGTAAGTCATGTGCCCCAGCCCTGTGATCATTTTCGTTGCCCTCTGCTGGACTCTCTCCAATTTGACCACATCCTTTCTGTAGTGGGGGACCCAAAACTGAACACAATACTCTATAAGTGTGGCTGTTGTACTTAAAGTACTGCAATGGATCTTTTCAGGGGGAATAAGGCAAAATGCCACTTTTATTAGTAATACATGTATTAATTTACACTGTATCATATGCATATGATATATATATTACACTCATGCACTCACATACACACACACACACAGAAGCACACTCCTGTCTTGTTGTTGTTACCAATTAGTTGCTCCCGTTAACTTCACTGGCCAGGTGAGTTACATGGGGAAAGGGGTGGAGCCGGGCTTCTGCTGATCCAGATCAATGCTCCCATGTTGACAAGATGAGACCCAGGGTCCTCTGCAAGACACTTCACATTTATAGCAGCTTCCCTCTCATGCAAATCTATACCAGATTTAAAATCTGTATCTGTGTCCTTGGTCCTTTGTGCTGCTTCCTTCTGGGTGTTGAACCACTGCTGTTCAAAGAGGGTGTTTTCAAAAGAAGGTGCTTGCTTCTAACCCCCAAGGCCGTCTATATGTCTGCTCTTCTTTAGTGAGCCCACTTGACAAGTTTTATTTTTCTTGGGTCTGGCTTCCATCCCCTCGCCAACTGTTGCAGCTGTCTGGAGGTGCTGCCTTTCACGCCTTTACTCATTCACACCTTGTTCATTCAACAGGGCAATGGGTTAAAAGGGAAGTGGGGGAGAGATCTTACTCTACTCCTAGCAAAAAGACATTTTTTAACATTATACCAAGGCTCAATACAAATTTTTCTATATAAGGATCTGATACAAAGTTGTATGAAAATAGAGGCATAATACAAAGTCATGAAAGTTATGTGAAGATGCTTATTGCCGAGATTTAACGACATGGCCTCACCAGTGCCGAATAGAGGGTAATAATCACTTCCCTTGATCTGCTGGCAATGCTCCTACTAATGCAGCTCAGTATGCTGTTAGCCTTCTTGGCAACAAGGGCACACTGCTGACTCATATCCAGCTTCTCATCCACTGTAATCCCCAGGTCCTTTTCTGAAGAACTGCTGATTGGCCAGTCAGTCCCCAGCCTGTAGTGGTGCATGGGAGTCTTCCATCCTAAGTGCAGGACTCTGCACTTGTCATTGTTGAACCTCATCAGATTTCTTTTGGCCCAATCCTCTAATTTGTCTAGGTCCCTCTGTATCCTATCCCTACCCTCCAGCATATCTACCTCTCCCCCGAGCTTAGTGTCATACGCAAACTTGCTGAGAGTGTAATCTATCCCATCCTCCAGATCATTAATAAAGATGTTGAACAAAAGTGACCCTAGGACCGACCCCTGGGGCACTCTGCTAGATACCGGCTGCCAACTATACATTGAGCCTTTAATCACTACCCATTGAGGCTAACAATCTAGCCAGCTTTCTATCCACCTTATAGTCCATTCATCCAATCCATACTTTTTTAACTTGCTGGCAAGAATACTGTGGGAGACTATACCAAAAGCTTTGCTAAATTCAAGATATCTCACATCCATCGCTTTCCCCAATATCCATAGAGCCAGTTATCTTATCATAGAAGGCAATCATGTTGGTCAGGCATAACTTGCCCTTGGTGAATCCACGCTGACTGTTCCTGATCACCTTCCTCTCCTCTGAGTGCTTCAAAATGGATTATTTGAGGACCTGCTCCATGATTTTTCCAGGGACTGAGGTGAGGCTGACTGGTCTATAGTTCCCTGGGTTCTCCTCCTTCCCTTCTTTAAAGATGGGCACTATTTTGCCTTTTTCCAATCACCTCCCCTGATCGCTACGAGTTTTCAAAGATAAAGGCCAATGGCTCTGCAATCACATCAGCTAATTCCCTCAACATCCTCAGATGCATTAGATCTGGACCCATGGACTTGTGCATGTCCAGCTTTTATAAATAGTCCTTAACCTGTTCTTTCACCACTGAGGGCTGCTCACCTCCTCCCCATACTGTGTTGCCCAGGACAGCAGTGTGGGAGCTGACTTTGTGAAGACCGAGGCAAAAAAAGCATTAAGTACTTTAGCTTTTTCCACATCATCTGTCACTAGGTTGCCTCCCCCATTCATTAAGGGTCCCATACTTTCCCTGACCTTTTTCTTGTTAACATACCTGTAGAAACCCTTCTTGTTACCCTTCACATCTGTTGCTAGCTGCAACTCCAGTTGTGTCTTGGCCTTCCTGATTACACCCCTGCATGCTCAAGCAATATTTTTATACTCCTCCCTAGTCATCTGACCAAGTTTCCACTTCTTGTAAACTTCCTTTTTGTGTTTAAACTCACTGAAGATTTCACTGTTAAGCCAAGCTGGTCGCCTCCCATATTTGCTATTCTTTCTGCACATCGGGATGGTTTGTTCCTGTGCCCTTATTAAGGCTTCTTTAAAATACAGCCAGGTTTCCTGGACACCTTTCCCCCTCATCTTAGCCTCCCAGGGGATCCTCCCCATCAATTCCCTAAGGGAGTCAAAGTCTGCTTTTCTGAAGTCCAGGGTCCATATTTTGCTACTCTCCTTTCTTCCTTTTGTGAGGATCCTGAACTCAACCATCTCATGGTCACTGCTGCCCAGGTTGCCACCCACTTCTACTTCCCTACCAATTCTTTCCTGTTTCTAAGCAGCAGGTCAAGAGGAGAATGGCCCCTGGTTTGTTCCTCCAGTAGTTGCACCAGGAAGTTGTCCCCAACACTCTCCAAAAACTGCCTGGATTGTCTCTGCACTGCTGTATTGCTCTCCCAGCAGATGTCAAGGTGATTGAAGTGCCCCATGAAAACCAGGGCCTGTGATCTGGAAAC